TTTTTTTCTTTTAAACCTATTATCTATAGATACATAAAATAAGATGTCCTGACTGACTGACTTCCCATACCTAATCAACTTTACGTAACTACCTGTAGGATTTAATTGTACACATATATTAGGGATACTTATTACACATTTTTGGTCATATTATAGACGTAGGTAAGTCGGAAGAATAAATGTTCCCTAAATCTTAAAAGCTATCCACGCTTTTAATTTTCATAGTATTATTACTATTATTGATGGGAAATCTTAATGGTTTTATTCTACGATAAATTATATGGGGCCTCGCATTTCACAATTTAGATATTGCCTAAGGCCTCGCAAATCGTAACGACGGCCCTGGACCTAGGGTATTCACTTACAGCGAGTTTCACCGGTGCTAGTCTTATAATATAAAACGAAGAATAGTTGCTACACGGGCCGATAGGTTTAGTGTCCCGACCAATCGAAAAATTCCGTTTTTTTTCTTCCAGTCGTTCTCCCGTATTATCTCTCCGTCGTTATCGTTTCTCCAACGGCCGTCGTTATCGGTTCATTTGCTCATTACTCATTGTTATTGTTTTTATTATATACCGTTTTTTCCGCTTTTCGCCCGGTTTTCCGGCCTTTCGAGACCTCTTTCCGTCGCGTTTTCGACGCTACGGCCCGGAGCGGGTCTTTTTCGTCCCGTTCGCGCCCGTCGCGTCCGGAAAACGCGTTCTCCGGTCGTATCGTCACGCGTTTTTTTGTTTTCGGTGTCTCCGCGACCTTATCGTCTCGATAGCGTACGAAATACGATTATATGTGTATATATATATATATATAATAATAATATTATATAAAAAAAGAAACGTGCGTATCGTTGTTGACGTACGTCAGATCGTGTTTATTATATACAAAAAAATCGCAAAATCGTTGCTCTTCAGTCGTTGTAATGCCTTTAATCGCATACCTTTGGGGGATATCGTGATTTGTGTATGTGATAATAAACTCGGTACGTCGTTAATACGTATACGATTAAAAAATGTAAACGAATACGTCGGAAACACTCTAAACGACAATAAATATGCGATTTACGGTTTCGTGACACGCGAATCGTAAAAATTGTACGGGTCAAACGACGTATAGACAACATGCAAATGTACGTAAGCGCTCCCAGTGGATAAAATTACAAGTTCTTTTATTATTACTGAATTATATACCTACTATAAGTGTTTATAATAAATATTAAATATTATTAGTATTAACTATTAAGTATGTACCACAAACTTAGTTATAATCTTAGTTGATTGTACTATGAATATGTGATACCTACCTAGCTACATATGTATTACAATTTATAATAATAAATTGTGATTTGTGTTTATAATTTAATACCTATTTATAACTAGTACGAAAAAGATCTAATATTCTAAATAAACATTTTTTTATTGAAATTGTTGAAAACTTTAAGATGAGTAATCGAATATGCTGTGTGGTAAACTGCGATAATACTTATAAAAATAAAGGAGACTTAATATTTTATAGTTTTCCAAATAAACCTCATGAAAAAGATTTGAAACATCGTTGGATAAAAGCTGTTAATCGGTTGGAGTAAGTAAATCATTACACATTTTAAATTTAAATAGGTATTTAACTCATTAGTAGCACTTAAATTAATATGCACTTTACAAAAAATAAATATTTGTACCTATAGTAGTGTATACACACAAGTTTAATTATTGTATTATTTATGAAAAACTATAGTACCTACCTCCCTACTCAACATATTTTATTTTTTTATTTCAGTAAAAATGGTCAATTATGGCAACCAAAGTATCACAGTTTAATTTGCAGTAAACATTTTATTGGCAACCGAAAATCCAAGGATCCCAAAAGTCCTTCATATTATATTCCTTCATTGTTTCCTGCAGTTTATAAAAAAATATGTATTAATGAACAACAACAAAATGATCGGTATCAACGAAATCGTCAGCGTCAAGAAATTAAACAGAAAGCTTCTTTAAATATTATTGTGACTAAATCTACTGAATCAACTGTTAATGAATTGCCTACATTTAGCAGTGGCGGCTCGTGTGCTTTGAAAGTGGGAGGGCGATATAAAATTGCTTATTTATGGAAAGTAGGTATCGAACACAAATAATATTAATAATGGTTATTTAATTAAATTAATTTAATAACATTTTTATGTGTGGATGAATCCATGATTAAAAACTTAATAATTCCAGTATATATTTTTGTAAAAAAAAATATCAAATTGAAATAATTGATTGCGAGTTATGACTGCACAAAGTAAATAATAAATATACGCAAGTTTGGAATCCATGTGTATCGGGCGATTAAAATCATCGCCCCGGCGGCAGTATTATTATTGTGTTCCCCCTTCTTAGTTTTTGTATTCCGATCATAGTTATGACGAGCGACTTTTAACATCGCCCAAGCATGGCATGCGCTGCTAGCGGATCTTGGTAAATCGTTATCGGTTATCGATTTTCAGAAGCTACAGTGTTGAATGATTGATTTTTAAACTCCCATTATCTGATAATGTTTTCATAATACTTAATAATGTAAATATTATAGAAAACACAATTTTTATTTTTGATAATATTATACTACAATATAAAATTAAAAATTGATAATAAACTTATAAATTTGTAATAAATGATAATTTTAAAAGGGGGGCGATCGCCCCATCGCCCCTATCTACGAGCCGCCACTGACATTTAGTAATATTGACAAAATTAGTTGTACTATTAGTACTCAGGTGTCATTTGACACTGATATTAATATTTTTACTTTTGAATATTTATTCAGTAAAACAAGTAATGATGTTGGAACACAAGCATGTATACCAGTCACTCACAATAATACTTTTTTAAAAAAAAATGTAACAGATATAGCATGTGGTCCTGATATATCTCATATCCACTTGAACCATTTTAGTGGTTTTCATTCAATTTGTAATGAGCAACAATTAAAAGGTCTTACGGGTACTACATTTAAAGTATTCAATCTCTTACTTTCTTTTATACCAGTTTCATCAAATAGTTCTATAACAAAAGAAAATAGGTTATTAATTTTTCTTCTAAAAATAAAATTAGGTGTAACGTACTCTGCTATAAGTGCTATATTTAATATAAATCCTACAACTGTGACTAGAGTTTTCTATAATATATTATATGCCTTGACATCTCAAACAAAACATTTTATATTTTGGCCTGACAAAAAAACTGTGTTTAATACTTTGCCTAAAGCGTTTAAAAGTAATTATCCAAATTGTCGTTGTATAATAGATTGTACAGAAATCAAAACAGAACAGCCTAGTACAGTCGAACAAAGGGTTTACATGTACTCACATTACAAAAACACTTATACTATAAAAGTGTTAGTTGCCATAACTCCTAGTGGATTCATAAGTTTTGTTTCCAAATGCTATGGCGGAAGAAGCAGTGACACATTTATAACAAACGACTGTGGGTTTCTATCAAAATTAGAACCAAATGATGAAGTCATGGCAGACAAAGGATTCCCTGGAATTAAAGTGAGTTGTGAAAATGTTAAAAGTGTTTTAGTTGTTCCACCCATTCTTCATAACAGAAGATTCACCGAAGAAGAAGTATTACAAACATATTCTGTTGCTAGTGTGCGCATACATATTGAACGGGTTTTTTCAAGATTGAAAACATATTCAATTTTAAATAAAATTACAGTAGATTTATTACCATCCACAGATGAAATTATACATATTTGTTGTGTACTAACAAATTTACAAAGTCCTATCATAAAGGAATAAATGTTAATAGGTACCGTGTCAAATGTTCGAAAGTCAAGTGTCATAATGTCGAGTGTCATAAACTCAGGTATCATAAAAATCATATGTTATAAAATTATTTCTCATAAACGTCATCTGTTATAAATAATTCTAAAATTGAATAAATAAAAATTCCATCGAAATTATTTGTGTTGTATTTATCGGGTCAAATTAATCTTTTAACCAAAGGTATTATTTCTGTGACAAATTTCAACAGATAGGTACCGTGTTCTGTGACAGAAACCGGACAGCGCAATCACCGAAAGTGCAAATAATAATATAATAATCAATATCAGAATATAAGTTATACGATAATAAGTAATAATAAGAATAACAATAACAATAACAATAAAAGGATTATACCGTGACCAAGAGATTTGGGCGATATGGCGTACACATAAGATAATAAGTAATAATAAGAATAACAATAAAAGGATTATACCGTGACCAAGAGATTTGGGTGATATGGCGTACACAATAACATTTTATCGAAATACGATAAAATACGAAATACGTTCTCAAATTATTTACCATTTATATTGAAGTTATTACAGTATAGCATTTGAACAGTCTAAACTAAAAATTTACGAAATTAAAATATTAAACTAAACAATTAAACTATTAAACACAAGTACCTAAACTATTTAGTTTTTTTTACGAAAATGGAATTAATTTTGACCGTCACTCCGTCTATTCATGAAAAGCGTGATACGTTGGACATAAATGGCTATTTATACATATACAATAGACAATATCAAAGAAAAACTGATGATAATCTTGTGTTCTATTGGATTTGTCGATGTGGAGCTCGTATACAGACGATTTTCAAAAATAATATTCATATTATTGATCCAAAAGGTAAGCCTTTTTCAATAAATGACCATTCTCATGGGCCAGACCCACAATATTTACAAATTAAAAAAGTCAAACAAGGTATCAAAAGAAAAGCTGATGAAACAAATGATACTACATCTAAAATTTATCAAGAGTCGATAATGTCCACATCTGTATCTATTGCATCACAAATTTCTAAAAATTCGACGAGATGTTTGATAAAACGTCGAAGAATGGGTCACACATGTAGTGAGCCAAAATCAATTAATGAAATTGCTGTACCCGAAATACTTAAACATACATTGGATAACAAATTATTTTTAATAAAATCATTTCATAGGGACACTGATTTTGTTATGATATTTACTACAGTTGAAAATTGTTTACTTTTAAAAAGCGCATCATTTTGGGTAATGGATGGTACATTTAAATCGTGTCCTTCATTGTTTAATCAATTATTTGTTATACACGGGTCAGTTGAAAGAAGAAATAACAAAACTGTTGTCCCATTAGTTTATGCATTGATGACTTCCAAAGATGAAGATTTATACATCCAGTTGTTTACAAATATTAATAACTTTGCATTTGAAAACGGAATAGATTTTAAAGATAATTCGAATTTAGAAATAATTACCGATTTTGAGTTAGCGTCAATAAATGCCATTAATGAAGTATTCAATTTTGCAATACATTCAGCGTGTTTTTTTCATTTTACACAATCTATTTACAGAAAAATCCAAAACGTTGGTCTCAGCAATAAGTATCAAAATGACGATAAATTCAATCTACTGGCTCGAAAAATACTAGCATTGGCATTTCTTCCTGTAAATTTGGTAAAGGACGTTTGGAATAATCTAAAATTGGAATTTAGCAATGACGAAAATGAACAGCTACTTGTGTCATATTTCGAGGAAAATTATATACTTGGTAAAATTAAAATGCGGTATCGAAATAATAGAACACCAAAAAGACATGAACCTATATTCCCTCCTGAAATGTGGTCTGTCTCTTCAAGGACATTAACCGGAATTCCTAGAACATCAAACTCTGCGGAAGGTTGGCATAATAAAATTCACCGGCTTCTTACATCACACCCTGGTATTTATATTAGTTTTAACTACTACCTAATTATAGGAAAGTAATAAAAATTAAAAATCTTGTTTAAGGTCTGTACAAATTTATCCGAGGCATACAGAAGGAGCAAAAAGAAACAGAAGTCACCATAGAACGCCTCATTACAAACTCAGCAACTCAAATAAAAATAAGTAATCATAACATTCGACTACAAAATATTTGTAAAAGATTAGAAGATAATCCTGAGTATGACATTAGTGAATTTTTAAGAGCTATCGCCTCTAATTTAAAATTTTAGATTTACTTACATTTAATTATTATATTTTATTTATATCGTATTATTTTAAATTTTAAATTTTGAATTATTAATTATTTTTATATGATATTAGGTGTCATTTTTTAAATTAAATTAAATCGTCATCTAAAAAATGATTATTTATAAACAAAAAAAAAATTATAACAAATGACGTTTATGAGAAATTTCTTTTATAACATACAATTTTATAACAATTGATTTTATGACACTCGACATTATGACACATGACTTTCTAACACTCGACCTAGATTCATGTTAATAATATTAAACTATTACTAAATAAAACATTATTATTAATATTAATCTAGTAGGTAATACATTTTATTTTATTTCCATAGGTACATATTATGTTACAATAGTTAAATAAAAATTGAAATAGAAGTATTCTAATCTTGTTATTAATTTTTCTAAAAACAATATATTTTTTTCAACAGTAACAGTTATAGGCTCAATAGTATTATAAACAAATAAATCACACTGCTCTAGTCCTGAACAAAACATTAAAATCTGACATTGAGTAAAGTACTGATGACTTGACTTAAGAACAATTTTATTACTTTCATATTTTAGGTATGGTACATTACAAACTTTATTCACATGATCAACTATTGGTTTTGACCTGCATGAAATTGGACATTTCACTTATAACACTTTGGTTATTTGCCCTCGCTTTATTACAATTCCATCTGGACTGGCGCAAAGCCATGGTTTATGAGAATGAATTATAACACCACACTTTATAATAGTAACACTAAAGATATTAGAATACAACTCTACTGCTGTTTCTTCATACTTATTACCATATGCAACATTTATCTTTCCTTGGTAACCTAATGATTTTTCATTCAGTAGAGATACAGCAAGACTTACCTGGTTTTCAAAACTTAAATTTTTACTTGATTTAATCCTATGAGCTTTTATACTGGCAGATATTCTAGAATTTCTAACTGCATTCCATAAATCACATTGATTTGATTGACTTTTTGTTTTATTAAAAATATTTTTAATTTCACTAGAATTTATCATAATTTTTGAAAAGTAATAATTACTGTCATTTAAATTTAAAGGAAAGTAAGATCCACAGTTAAAAATAATGCCACATTCATTTTGTTTAGTTAGTATCTCATTCATGTAAATCTGATCAAAATGATCTTCAACTTCATCTAAAATAGATTCTATACACTTTCTAATCTCTACCCAAGACTTATACTGCTGTTCCTCTTTAATCATTTTGCTTAAAATACATGGTACGGATAAAATATCATAATTATTTACTAGAGATTTATGACTTACACCCTCGTCATCATAACATAATTCTTTTCTTTTTTTTGGAAATAATTTTTCAATTGTTTTTCCTTTCTTATATTTCATTGTACCTGCTGTCGAAGGCTTTCCCCACTCTTGTGAAACTGTTGTTTTTGATAATACTTCTTCATTATTTATGTAATAAATTGTAGCTGCGATATGTTTGCACTTTTTTGATGCACCAGCTGGGCACTCACAAGTACTATTTATGACATTCCTCATATGATCAATCTTTAATAGTAAAAGTAGGTAGGTTATAATTTATAAGTATCTAAATATTACATTTCAGATATTCTATTTAAAATTATTGTGTTAAGTTGGAAACAAAATTGAAAATAATATTAACCTCTAGTGTCACTTTATAAGATGGCAATGTAACAGACATCTGTCGAATAACATAGCTGGTGATAAATGAATATCCATTTGGTTGAATAATTTCAGTAACCGAATGTACATGTTCACTTTCAAAAAGTTTTACACCTTTATTGTTTTTGAAGTTAAAATCACTGACAACACTTTGAAATCCACACTTAAGAATAATATCCGGTTGCAACATATTTAACTATAGGTACCTATTTAATAACAATTTTTTCAAACACTGTTTTTTCGAGGCATTTCTACATAATACAATATTGTATATTATGTATTACTAGCTGACCCGGCCACGCGTTGCTGTGGCTAAATGTTCTTACACTTGATATTAAGCAGACAGTCTTAAACTTTTAAATGTTAATATCTAATTTTTTAAATTATAAATACTTTTAATTTTTCTATTTAATTTAACACCAATCGGTGCACAATGCTTTTGGTTAACCTGTCTTTAGCTAACACAAATAGATTCGACAGTTTCTCAACACGTGAACACGCAACATATAGTTGCCCATGAGAAAAACATGGATTTTCCAAATCTAAACCACAAATGGACATTGTTTGACCTTGAGATTTACTTATAGACATGGCGAAAGCTAAACGAATTGGAAACTGTAGCCTTTTGAAGGGTATGGTAGAATCTGATGGTATCATCGGAATACGTGGCAGCAGGACCACTTTTCCTTTAAACTTACCAGACAAAATGGTTGCTTCAAGAATGTTTCCGGTAATCTTTTTGATGACCAAACGCGTACCGTTACATAATTGAGGTGGCTTCAAATTACGGAGGAGAATAATGGGGGAACCAATCTTTAATCGAAGATTATGTGGTGGCATTCCAGGGATATCTAATGAATTTAAAAATTCTTTCGGAAAATTTACACTTTCATTTTCGTCAACAACAGTATCGATTGATTTAAATGACATCAGATCGCTTGGTAACAACTGTTGTATCTGGAAGTTAATTTCGTCAACATCAACGTTTTTGGCTGCCAAAATCGCCCGTTGACTAAGCCATTCATGATTCAAATAATTATTCTGTATATCCGGGAAAATACTCTGAATCAAATCATTTTTATCCTGAACAACAGTGCAAAAATTGTCCGCGAAAGTAGAGCGAGGTATAACCGGTAAGGTCTGCCGGAAGTCACCAGACAAAAGTAAGATAGCACCACCGTAAAGTTTATTATTGCTGTTTAAATCTTGCATAGTTCTGTTTAGTGCTTCAAGTGAATATTTGTGTGCCTTTGTGCACTCATCCCAAATTATTATAGAACTCTTCCGCAACACTGCAGCTATTCCACAATTCTTTTTGATGTTACACATTGCATCTGGTTTATTATGAACGTCCAATGGCAGCTTGAATGTTGGATGTGCTGTTCGCCCACCATCCTAAAGTAGCCGCAATGCCTGACGATGCTACAGCTAATGCGATTTTTTGTTGCGACCGTATTTTGGCAAGAATCAACGATATTAAAAATGTCTTACCGGTTCCACCGGGTGCATCCAAGAAAAAAAAAACCGCCTTGTTCAGCAGCAACAGCCAGCATAATCCGATCATAAATAATTTTTTGTTCTGCTGTCAGTAATAAAAACTTTTATAATATTTTTTTTTTTCGATTTTTATCGATATTAATCGATTTCAAGCCCTGCTATTATCGATTTTTGTATTATTATTTATATTTTATTTTTATCTGCATTCTCTTAAATTGGAATGGATAATCTGATGGTATCATTGGTTAGGATCACCAAAACAAATTAGAGCAAGTGTTCACGCGTTTGAGAAAACATAAACTGAAATTACAACCAACGAAGTGTGCATTCTTGCGTAAAAAGGTTTTGTATTTAGAGCATTTGATTAGCGAAAACGGGGTAACACCAGATCCGAATAAGTTAAGTTGTATTAAAAATTATCCGAGACCGTTAACCGAGAAAGATGTTAAATCTTTCTTAGGGTTACTTAATTATTACCGCCGATTCGTTGACAATTTCGCCAAAATAGCTAAACCTCTAACGAATTTATTAAAAAAGAATACACCTTTCGTATGGACAGATATGTGCGAGGACGCTTTTCAGGAATTAAAAAAAGCTTTAATGAACCCACCTCTATTAGTATACCCAAATTGGGAAAATGGGGATTTTAATCTAATGACAGATGCAAGTCAGTATGCAATTGGGGCTGTCCTTTCGCAAGGAGAGTTACCAAAAGATCAACCAGTAGCTTATGCAAGTAGGACGTTAAATAAAGCAGAAACAAATTACAGCGTGATCCAAAAAGAATTGTTAGCGATAGTATGGGCAGTTAAATACTTTAGACCGTACCTATACGGAAAAAAATTCAAAATAATAACCGACCATCGACCGTTAACATACTTATTTAACATAAAGGACGTTTCGTCACAATTAATGAGATGGCGATTACAACTCGAAGAGTACGATTACGAAATTATTTATAGAGCCGGTCCACAACATGCAAACGCGGATTGTTTATCACGTATACGCATAGTTAAAAATAATGAGCCAATTAATGGTTTCGATGAATTTAAAAACGCGGAAAATAAACCAATATTTAAGTCTAAAGTAAACGATATCGAAGGTAGTATTAAACATGTAAAACTCGAAGAAAACATAATTTTACATATAACAAGTGATAAAATAATAACGCATCCGGCAATTAGAGAGATTATTACCAATAACAATTTACTGGGTCAAATAACATTTAATGAGAATAGATTTTTTGTTGTTAAGCAATTAAATAGGGTAATAATAATGTATAATCTAAAAAATAATCATTATACCGAAATGAACGCGGAGCAATATTATAATGCGATAATGGAAATTAAAACATTCTGTATCAGTGAACAAATTAAGAAATTTTCAATAATTAGATTAGAAGGGTTAACGACTTTAACCTGCTTCGAACGCGTACGTGCAATGTTTCGTTTTATTTTTAAAAACACTGGTATAGAAGTAACAATTTATAAAGAACAATATTTTACGGAAGACGAAAAAAATCAAATAATTAAAGAATATCATGATATATTAGTAGGGGGTCACCAGGGTACCTCCCGTACAATAAAAAGATTAAAAATGAAATATCAATGGAAAAATCTAAAACAAGACGTGAAAAATTATATTAAAAAATGCGTTATCTGTCAGGGAAACAAATCGGGATAGAAAACGAAACAACCTATGTTAATTACCTCCACGGTAACTACTACTGTTGCGTCAGTGAGCCTCTCTAACACCTATCGAGGTTGTCACTGAT